GGAAAAGGCCAAATATTACCGGCCCCCAAAAAATTTCAACGCCCCTCTTAGGGGGACACGGAAAAATTCCCCCCAAAAAAGGCGCCCCAATTATTTCAGGGTTCCCCCTTTGGGGAAAGCCCAACGGAAAAGTCTAAAAATTAGCCCCCCAATTTTTTTCCACTTTCCCTTGGGGAAAGACCCCGGTAATTCCAAATTTAGGGGCCCCAATTTTTTTCCCAAAAAAACCCCTTAAAAGGAGACCCCCCTTTTAAAAAGCCCCCCTAAAAAAAAAACGCCCCCATTTTTTTCAAAACTTTTGGGGGAAAACCACGGTGGGGCCCCCAAAATTTTTAGGGGCCCCAAATTTTTTTTCACATCTTTTAGGGAGACACGGTAAGTCTAATTTAGGGGGAAATTTTATTTTTTCAAACTTTTAAAAGGGGGGAAAAAAACCACGTAAAGCCCCCAAAAAATAAAACGCCCCAAAAAATTTCCCCACTTTCCCCCCCTTTGGGGGAAAACCAGGGTTAAGCCCTTTAAAATTAAAAGCGCCCATTTTTTTTTCCCAGGGCCCCTTGGGGGAAAAACCACGGTTTAAATTCTAAAATTTCTTTCAATTTCACGCCCCCCCCCCCCTTTAAGGGGACAGGGAAAAAACCCCCTAAAATTTAGTTTTTCTTATATCACCCCCCCTCATTGGGGAAAAAACAGGGGAAAAAAGCCCCCTAATATTAGGGGCCCAAAATTTAATTTTCACGACTTTAGGGAAAAACACGGTAAGTTTTAATTTAATTGGGCCCCCCAAATTTTTTTCCCCGTCCCCCCCCTTAGGGAGACCCCGGGAAAAAAAAGGGCCCCTAATATTGGGCGCCCATTTTTTTCCACCCGCCCTTTTTAAGGGAAAAAACCCACTTTAAGCCCCCTAATATTGGCGCCCCAATTTTTTTTCCCCGGTCCCCCCCCAGGGAGAAAAAAATTAAAAGCCCCCAAATTTTACCCGGGCCAAAAAAATTTCCACCCCCCCCCCCTTTAGGGGGCCCAAGGAAAAATTTTCTAATTTGGGCGCCCCCCCCAAATTTTTTTCACGCCCCCCTTTGGGGAGAAACGGAAAAAGCCTAATTTTAAAGCGTCTTATTTAAAGGGCCCCCCCCCTCTTGGGGAGCCCAGGGGTAAGCCCTAAAAAATTACTTAAATTTTTTTTTCCCCCGTCCCCTTAGGGAGGCCCAGGGGGAAAGGGCCCAATTTTAAAACCCGTAAAATTTTTTTTCACCCCCTCTTGGGGAAAACAGGGTTAAGCCCCCTAATTTTGGGGGTAAATTAAATTTCACGTCCCCCCTTGGGAGGGGGGGGGCGGAAAAAGCCCCCCCCTAATAAAAACGCCCAAAAATTTCACGCTCTTAGGAAAGCCCCAAAACCGGAAAAAAGCCCCAAATATTACGCCCCTTTTTTTTCCACCCCCCCTCTTAGGGGGGACCCCGGAAAGCCCCAAAATTTTAAAAAGCCCCCCCAATTTTTTCAAACGTTTTCCTTAGGGGGGACACGGAAAGCCCCTAAAAATTGGGCCCCCAAAAATTTCCCCGGCCCCCTTAAAGGGAAAAAGGGTTTTAAAAGGCCCCCCCCTAATATTAGCTTTCATTATTTCCCCGTCCCCCCCTAAAGGGGAAGACACGGAAAAGGGCCCCCCCCCAATATTTGCGCCCCCAAATTATTTCACGCCCTCTTAGGGAAAACAGGGAAAAAAAGAAATTCCAATTTGGGGGCCCAATTTTTTCCCAACGCCCCCCCCTTTTGGGGGGAGACAGGGTTTTAAGTTCTAAAAAATTAAACGCCCCTTTTATTTCACGGGCCTCTTTGGGGGAGACAGGGGAAAAAACCCCCAATTTAAAAGGGGCCCCCAAATTATTTCCCACGCCCCTTTTAAAGGGAAAAACCACGGAAAAAGTCAAAATTTTAAAGCGTCAATTATTTCCCACGTCCCCTTTAAGGGAAAAACGGTAAAGCCCTAAAATTTTACGTCATTATTTCCCACGGAAAAGCCCCCTTAGCGCCCCCATGTTTTCCCAACGCCCCCCTTAAAGGGAAAAAAACCCCGGGAAAGGGGCCCCCCTTAATAAAACCCGCCCTTTAAAATTTCCCCCGTCCTTAGGGAAACAGGGTTAAGCCCCAAATTTTAAAAACCCCCCATTTTTTTTTTAAACGCCCCCCCCCCTTTAAAAGGGAGAAAAGGAAAGGGCCCCCCAAAAATTTTAAACGCCCCCAAAATTCCCCACGCCCCCCCTTAGGAGCCCCAGGGGGTTAAAATTTCAAAAAATTAAAAGGGGCATTTTTTTCACGCCCCTTTTTGGGGAGAAAAAGGGAAAAAATTCTAAAAATTAGCGTAAAATTTTTCACCCCCCCTTAGGGAAAAACCCCGGAAAAGCCCCCCTAATAAAAACCCTCCATAATTTCCCACGCCCCCCTTTTTGGGAGGAACCCCGGAAAAAGGGCAAAAATTTTAAAGCGCCCCATTATTTCACGGAAAGGGCCATTAGGGGCCCATTATTTCACGTCCCCTTAGGGAAAACCCCCCGGTTTAAGTCCTAAAAAATTAAAGCCCCTTTTTTTTTAAACGCCCCCCTTGGGGAAAACCCAGGGTAAGTCAAAAATTTTAGAGCCCCCAATTTTGATTTTCCCCGCCCCCCCCCTCGGGGGAAAGAAAACGGGTAAAGAAAAAAATTTTAAGCGTAAAATTATTTCACGCCCCCCCCCTTAGGGAAAACCGGGAAAAAGGCCCCTTAATTTAATTGCGTCCCATTTTTCACCCCCTTTTTGGGGAGCCCAAGGGTTTAAAAATCTAAAAATTAAGGCGCCCCTTTTTTATTTCCCCGTCCTTGGGGGAGAAAACGGAAAAAAGCCAAAATATTCCGCCCAATTAAATTTTACGTCCCCCCTTTAAGGGAGACCCCCCGGAAAGGCCCCTAAAAAACCCGAAAAAAAATTTCCAGGCCCCCGCTTTAGGGAGAAAGGGGAAAAGGCCCCAAAATTACCCGCCCAATTAAAATTTCCCGTCCCCCCAAATTTTCCCAAATAAATTTAAGTTTTCCCTTTTGTTTTTTTTTATGGGTTTCGAATTTTTTTTGGGGAAAAACGGGGTTTTTCAATCACAGCAAAAGGACGGGTTTTTTGGCATGTCTTTGTTTATCGTTTTGGTTTTTTTTTTTGTTTGGGTTTTTTCCGCGGTTTTTTTATCTAATTTTTTTTTAAATTCCTAAAAAAACTCGGCTAAAATTTTAAAATTCTCAAAATAAAGCCCCAATTTTTTTTGAAAAATTTGGGAGCCCCCCTTTAAATTTTATTCGGATTTGTGTTTCCATAAGTCCTTTAACCCCAAATTTTTCCCCTTTTTTAATGGGCCAAAACCCCCCTTTCGTCTGCACGCCCCTGTAAAAGGGAAAACGAAATTTTTTCCAAAAGTTTAAAATATTTTAAGGCCCCTTTTTTTTCCTGCCCAATTTTTAAACCCAAAAAATTCCCTTTTTTTTTTAAAAAGGGGAAATTTTTTGGGGCGTTTTCGTTTTCCCCAAATGAAAAAATAGTTTCCCGTTTTTAGGGGCAAATTTTGGAAAAAACCCAAAAAAAATTTTTCGTTTTCCCCACTGAAAAAAAAAAATTTTTCCTGAAATGCGGGGCAAAATGTAATAAAAAATCACCCCCAAAAATTCAAGTTGAAAAAAGTTTTTGAATTGGGGTGGGGAAAAAAAAGAAAATTTTAAAACCAAAAAAAAAAAAAAACCCTTTCCTTTTAAATAAATGTATAAATTGTATGGTAAGGCGATTTGAAAAACATTTTAAAATTTTGAAAAACCCTCCATTGTTATGCATTTTCCCCCCAAAAAACCCATACCCCAAAAAAACATTTTTAAAAATTAATTTCCCAACCCTTGAAAAAAAAATAAAAAAAATTGGAAAAGAAGGGTTTTGGAGGGGTTTTTGGGCAAAACAATAGCAAATTAAATTAAAATTTAAAACCCTAAGTTGCGCCCCCCAATTTGACTCATCGCAGTAAATAGAACGTATTGTGATGTAAAAGTTGATATCAACATCAATATTCGTGCCATCGATACTTACAATTAATCAATGCATTCTATTTCATTGTTCTATAAGACATATCCTATATTTGTGATCTATATGATAACGATACAAATATATAATAGAATTATAATGTCCTAACAATATATAATAATAATCCGCCAGCGCATGCCTTGATTTCAAGTCATGATCTTCCGATATTGTTGGTTGAAGAAATTAAATTCTTCCGACTTTTATTTATATGACAATAACCGGCTGTTAGTATTTAGTTGGTTGGTGAGTTGTCTGATAACTATAAGTTGTTGCGAACGTGTGATCACCTGAACATGCAGTCCATAGTACTACATGATACACCGGCCAGACCCCTGAGTATGAGTGAAATAAAGCAGCATTCGCATAATAGTAAATTTGGTCCTGGACATCGTCCATCGAAACGAATAGATCTGAGCCATAACCAAAAGTTTAATATGGTACAAAATCACAAGCGAGATCTTCGTGTTGAGTATCTTTTGCAGATGAGCGGTTCTAACGGTAAGTAACGCGTGATATTTAACGCGTGATAAGTGGAGCGTGATAATTAGCGCGTGGTAAATAAAGCTTAACAGCCTAAAATCCAATTTTAATCAGCAATATTTTTTGCACTACAGTGAACTATAATAGTCCATTACCATAACCTACTGACAGACGTGTTTAACTCCTGCTTACAGTGCTGAGTGCTATGTAATCCTGAACTACGGTGCTATAATTACGACAATAACTATACTATATGGCTGCATTTTTCTGCGGTATCGGACACCTGTTTTTTAGTTCTAAACTACTCAGAAATATTTCGAAAATAGTTGTCTAAGTGTGTAGTACATTCGTGTTGTTATCGAAATTGAGCTGTGTCCGTGTTATCCTTGGACACATCTTATAATCAGGAATTTGATGAATGATTCGATCAATCCATAATGTTTAACTACTTTGCAATAACTGGTAACTATAAACTGGTAACTATAAACTGGTAACTGGTAACTATAAACTGGTAACTGGTAACTAAACTTGTTTTCCAGAACCACGTGCAAACTCGCCATTTTGTTGAACAACCAAGCTTTTAAACGGTCTAAATTAACTATTAGTAACTGTAAGAAGAAATATGTTCGATCCTCAACTTTTTCAGCAACAGGACGAAATGCTCGGTTCAATCAATTTAAGAACCGAGCAAGCTTCGTTAAGAAGAATGTAAAGCAGGTCGATAAGCAGGAGGAATGGGGGAGCAAGTCAGAGGTGAATAATCGCTATCAGTTTATCTATTTTATCTGTCACAACTCGTTTATTTTCAATCGTATGATCCTTTTTAGTGACAAAATCATGATTTGATAATTGATTAATTGGTTATCTTTTCAGTATATTCTTTCACTGATTGGGTTTGCAGTTGGTATTGGTAACATATGGAGATTTCCTTACCTATGTCAGAAACACGGCGGAGGTAAGCAAACCAATTTATTTAGAATAAAATTTACTACTTATTTAGTTATCTTTATACAATATCTTTGTCGCATAGTAGCGGGGTAGTAAATACAGTGTTTCGTTTCGTTTCGTTTCGTAAGCAATAAGTATACGGACACGTTCATTTGAGTTTGAGGATATTGGTAAACAAAAATAATAGCGTTTTTGACGATAGTGGCTTAATTTTGACATCTATTAACTTAGCACGTTCAGAAGTTCTGAACATTAGCCACGTAACTCATACTCCCATATGCACCGCTCAGAAAGAAAATCTATTGTTGTTAGGCACTATAATGTTTCAAATGTCACATTTTGTGTGACTTAGTTAACTGCAGTTGTCTAATTATCATTCCTTGGTCTGAAATATAGTAAATTAGGTCAATCTAACAATTATGATACAACATTGGTTAATGGGCACGGATCGAACGGTTACAAGGCAATATTTGGGTAACTTTGTCACACTCATGATGCCATACCTCTATTCTACTGTGAGGTGTCCTAAAAACCCTTTTCAACTCATTATTTGATGGTTGCTCTACCAATCATAGCCCTAAAATATGTTCTTTTGACTAGTTAGCTAATACAGGCACTTGGTTATTGGGAAATGAGGTTAATTCTGTCACAATATATGAAATTTTAAATTTTGGGCGAATTATTTATATCTGATTTTGGTTTGAAAGGTGGGAAAATTTTATATTATGACAATGTAGTTGATGCAAGTTAAGATCAGTTGATATTGTTTACATTGTCACAAAAAATTATACGAAATCGTAAATAGATTAAAAACAATGATTATAGAATGAAATAGTCTCGTATAATAACTCTTATAATAACTGATGTGACAAAGTAAACATGTCTTGCCCCTATTTGGAAGATCTATATTCTATACCTTTATTAGAATATTGTCCAGAATATCAGAGCTTAAGTTTAACAATTTTAGGTTAAATTTGTCAAAGTCACTAAAAATGTGACAAAATTAACTTTTCATGCCCCAACAATTTCAAGATAGTGTGTAAAAATTAGCATAGGCTGCTTTATTACCTATATAAATCAATCCAAACTACAAAAAAATATATGTTAATGTGATGATGATTACCTAACTCTTATAATAACTGATGTGACAAAGTAAACATGTCTTGCCCCTATTTTGAAGATCTATAACTCTATTAGAATTCAACATTCTTTCAGAAACGATTGGAAGAATATTGTCCAGAACATAAGAGCTCAATTTAAAAAATTTAGATTAATTTGTCAAAGACATTAAAAATGTGACAAAATTAACTTTCCCTGCCCCAACAGTATCAAGATAGTGTGTTAAAATTGGCATAGGATGCTTTATTACAGGTATATTAAAGTATTAATCGATCCAAACTACGAAAAATATCTTTTAATCTGATGACGATTACCTAACTCTTATAATAACTGATGTGACAAAGTAAACATGTCTTGCCCCTATTTTGAAGAACTATACCTCTATTAGAATACTATGTAACTTTATCATCAACAAAATTTCGATAAACTAGTTATTTTGCCAGCAAGGAGCTAACAGAGTTATAATAATTTTTTGTGACGAAATTACCCTATTTTTGACCATGTAGTGGTAGTTTAATTGTGACACTGTTAACATATTACCACCCGATAATGATTTATGTGACTGGTGCATGGTACTATCAGTGTTGTTTGATCCATAGTACGTAATATAATGGGTTTAAGCTGGTATATCATTATTTGTTCAATTTCACACATGTTCAGATATCATCAAGATTATGTGACAAAGTAAACTTGGTTGTGCCTTCTGTGTTTTAATTCCTTACGACTATATGATATAATAACAATTCCCAGCACTTCCAGGCTATCAAATAAACTTACACTACTCAGCATTGCTTATCAGGGTGCCCTAAACATTCATCACATATTTTCTTTAATGTGTGACAGAGTAAACCTGAATGCACCATCTAACGAAAAAAGTCATCAAATATGTAGGTAATGGTCATATGTACCCATCCAATCAACTGGACACTAAAAAATTTGGTCAAACACGGCAGCAAGGGGTCCATATTTACTCCGTCACATGTTTTTAGTGTGACAATGTAACCATTTCCGTGCCGGCCGTATTTAAGCGATATCTTATCACCTGATTAAGATATCGTTATGTGACAAAGTTAGCCTAGAGGATGAGACGATTATCCTAACCATCAAGGGTTTAAGTAATTTCATAGTGTGACAAAGTCAACTACACTGTGCCTTCTAATAGGGTCAATTATATTTACCAATATCCTCAAACTCAAATGAACGTGTCCATAAGTAAATTCATTCGATTTTCATCAATAATATGGTTATCAATATCGCTGGTGTTGCAGGAACAGCGCTTCATATGGATAATATCTGTTAACTTATTATTTGGGAAGAAGAATTTCTTCTTTAACAAATAATACATTTTCTGTTTGCTATGCGATTTCCACATACATTTCTAGGGCTGTAAGCATTCTTGGGGCTAGTTATTTTGGGCGGATGTACAGTATTTTTGTGATACATTAGTACCTTTACTGGTTTGCACATGTAAAGCCCACACTTGCTCAGATAATTGTTCCAATTTGTTCTATGACAGGCTGGCTTAACATTTGCATTATTTGTCGCACCATGTTGGTTTGTAACTTTATACCTATCTAGCTGATCATTTTTATTTCGCATGTACATTGTAAACTGTACGTACGTTAATATTGCAGTTTCGTGTTTCTTCTTAATATTATGCATATTACATCCTGAATCCTGATTCCTGTGTAATATATTGTAGTTTTAAAGTATCAGCTTACGCTGGTTCGGACACACTGCTGTCTGCAATCCTTTTGCATTTTTTACTTTGTTTAAAAAGTTTAAAAGTAGCTCAGGAGTGGCTCTCGGAAGATTTAAAGCACAATCGATTTCACAAGGTTTTAAAAACAATGGACTCCACTCTAGCAATGAACCGGAAAAAGGCTGCATCAGCAGCTAAGAAGAAGGAAGCAGTGGAACTGAAAAAGGAACAAGAACAGCTAATGGAGGACGCCACAACCACGCTTAGCCAATACTTCATGTTTGCAGTGGGAATGGTTATCATTATCTACATCGGATTCTGCTACCAAGAAATGGCTAAAGACATCGAGCGAACCTTTTTCAGCTTACCTGATCAATGTGGCGAGAAGGAAATAAAACAAAACTCTTCCAACTACGAATACGGGTTAGATAGTTTGGTAATGTTGGGAGATGTGCAAGTTCCCAAGGCTGTTGCACAAGAAAGTATTGACTATGAGGAACCTGAAAGTTGGATACTCAACGGTGACACAATAACAAAAGTAGGAGGAAACTACTGGTATGTAGCTGTAGATACCGATATGTCAGGTATTTCAGGGGGTATGTTGAGGAACTGGTTTGAAACTGTTAATTGTTCAGATATGTATAAGTGGTGGCATCCAAAGGATCATGAATATGGTGTTTGGTTGGATCATGACACTTACGAAGCAAGCAGCTCCCTTGTTGGCAGACAGGGTAAGATTCACAGGGTTAAAGAGAGAGTTGGAGGCAAAATGAACAAGCTAGATATATTCTTCCACGATCCGTGTGTTGGGAAAGATTGTGACGTCCTAAAAACACAGGGTGTAGAACTGATCCTATCCGGAAAAGTCCACGCTCATCTGACTCCCATAGGACGAGTCTACGCTGGGTTCTTTATCCACACACTCAGAGTAGATGACACAGGAAGCACTCTCCACTCACGCTTCACTATGGGCAAGGACGTGCACTGCCTGGATAGTCCCAACTCTTGGGGGTGCTTCTTTCTTGACACTTTTCAGTGGCTTGTTAAGAAGATTATGTTATCAGATAAGAACGCTGCGAGCATTTTCATTCATTGTCGGGAAGAGATGTTTACTTTGGGTAGGCTACTGGCTAAATTGAATAACGTTGCTGCTAGGGGATGAGCTAAATTCCTGTTCTGTGTTTATGAAATTGGGCGGAATTTGATGAAAGTTTTGATTATGTGTTTATTGATGGATGAACTGAATTTAAGAAATTTTAGGTTACCCTACTCGATTTACTTTATAAGGGAAGCAAATTGGTATTATTTTCTGCCAAATATACATACAATTCAACATTGAGTCAAGAATAAAAATTATTTTCAAGTTGATCCATCAAACCAAACAGATGTTTATCTAACCCTTTTCTGTTTTCGAGGAGCTAATTAAAATATCAATTAACTTGTCGCGACATTGTCTATTGAGATAACTATTTTCTATTTAATTTGATAAAATAGTCTTTATTCATTTCGATTGTTACCAAATTTTTATTGTACGAACAGAATATTCGAAATTTCAAGGTACGATTGTCGATTCATGAACGACAAAAAAATGGTCTTGACATATTTTAAGCTATAAAACCGTAAAACGGATACATGGTAAATTAAAAATGTTCTTGCGTGATGGCAGTTCGGCTAATATTTTCATCAAAGGGTCAATAACTTGAATTATAAAACTGAACTTTCGATTAACTTAAAAACTCCTCCCTCTAATTTGACCAGGTGCGTTCCTGTTCGCGTACGTGGTGATGGTGATTATTGAGGGTCTGCCACTCTTTTGTCTAGAACTTCACATCGGTAATCACTTTAAGAAGAGTGTTAGTGGTAGTATGAGGGTGAGTGACTTCAATGTGATAATTATTAGTAATTATTAGTAATTATTAGTGATTATTAGTAATTGTTAGTAATTATTAGTGATCAATATTACAATTCATGAATTGCTTTAGTTTAATCGATAATATTATAATTCATAAATTGCTTTAGTTTAATCGATGATATTATAATTCATAAATTGCTTTAGTTTAATTGCTATAGTATAAAACTTGAAGCTGAGCTTGCCATTTGAACTTTCATTTATTTGTTCTATAATTCATAAATTAGATTATCAACAATATGATATTCTATGAACAAAATTAATGGTAATCGATCAAATGTCGTAGCTTAAATATGTCGTTGAGAATTGCCTGATCGCACCAGTTTAGATTTCATCCCTGAATCAGTAAGTCAGTGCGAAAAGGGAACTAAATTTGACAACTGACAACTAACAAGTGCGTGCCGGCTGTATGTCGTACAGGAATCGTTTATATACGTACTTGGTTTTCATTGGTCACTGCTGCAACCAGACAGCAAATCTCGGTCACCAAGACCGATACAGTTCGCTAGCTCCCAGAAGTAGTCACATCCCATATCCATTAACCAGCAAATAAATCCACCTTATTCAAAGATCAGCACTAACAATGTTTTCAGCACATCAAGAAGGGGTTGGTTGGAGTGGGCTGGTGTACTATCACAGTGTGTTTCCTGTGTGCTGTTTACTACAACTCTATTATCATGTGGATTATAAGGTGAGAACATGTTTAGATTATTGTGGAATGAAGTTGTCAAAATGGCAATGCATTTCACAAATTCAGTGCAGAGACAGTAACTACTACTAGAATAAACCTCGAATAAAGATCATCATGAGTGATCGGCGATGATAAGGTAGCAACTGAGAAGAAATTCAATTTTCTCAATTAAAAATAACTTTGCAGGTACTTTTTGTAAAGATAAGGAGTTGCTAACCTAAAAATAACTTGTCAGATACTTGTTCGAGTCCTTCGTGAATCCCTTACCTTGGTCAGAGTGCAAGACGGATCATATCTGCTGTCTGGAAGACAAGACTCAATACTACTGGTATGGATACTCGTGGCGTGGTGAAGTGCTTTAATCTTAACATAAGTGTTTAAATTTAAAGTTTTACTCAGCAAATAAAGTCAAATAACTTGAACAAACATTAAGTTTATTGTCAGTTAAATAAAATTGGATCTCTTATATATTTACTTACTTCACACTTAATTAATTAACTGCTAAATTACTCAATTCAATCTAATTAGGTATTACGAACATTTGCGGCTGTCTCCTGATATCCGTGAACTGGGTTCCTTCAACCCAACTTTAGTGGTCTGTTTGATCATCTCCTGGGTCACCATCTTCATCTGTATTTCTAGAGGAATCAAGAGCTCTGGAAAGGTAATATAACACGTAATAATTACTAATCCACTAATTGTACTAATTAATTTCTGTTTTGCAACATTGAACATGGAATTAGCATATTTGACTGCGAGCCAAAAACAACGAGAATTAGTGTGGTATTAAAATGTTATTCGTGAAGTTGAATACCTATTTCAGATACTTAATTTTCATTTATTTAATTGGACGCGATTATTAACAAGGAATGGGGCCTATATAATGAGTCTCTCCATGTTTATAAGAATTCATTCGTTAAGATGATAAAGGGAATCGGAAATGAAGGGGAACTTAAAGATGAACGGTTAAAACGGCTACGTAGGTTTGTAAGTATGCCAGCATCAGCCAAGAATGACATAGATTTGTCATGAGCGAGATAATGAATATGTAAAAGTGATCAGAAAGATAAAGGTGAATCCAAGAAGGGAGTGGAAACTGGAAAGTTCCAAAAGCAACCCACTCTAAATTATCACTATGATTCTTCGAATGATTCTTTGAATGATCCTTCTTAAATCTTGATCTAAAGAGCTCTCTCATCTTTTCTGTAACGATATTGTATGCTTACCTGAATAGTCATGTTGGATGAGCAATTAGTTAAATTCCTATTGAATATCTTATTAATCATGAATAGATCAATTCACACCGATCAGATCTATAATAAAAATTTCAGCTGTATGCCCTCAATTTCGTCTTACAATAAAATATATTTGTACACTATTATTAGTTTTCTACAGGCGCGATAAGCTAGAAACCCATGAAGTTTGTCCCCTCAGGTGGTATATTTCTCAGCAACGGCCCCGTATGTGGTACTGATAATCCTTCTGTTCCGCGGGGCTACCCTGGATGGAGCAAAGGATGGTATCATGTACTTCCTCAAGCCGGATGTAAGTTACTCTTCCCTTGTTGTATCCCGTCTCTATGCTGTATAAACCATAAAACATGATGTTAATGCAGAGTAGAACCGTATGGAACTTTGTAGTTTCTGTCCCTTGTTTATAACGTGTCTTTATAGCTTTATGCAACAATGATATTCACATTTCACCGCCTCACTAAAATGCTCATACTTTTGAAGGCAAAAAAGCTGTTAGACCTAAGTCTATGGTCGGATGCAGCCTCGCAGATATTCTACTCTCTTGGTATTGGGTTTGGTGCTATCGTGTCATTCGCCTCCTTTACCAAAAACTGCGACAACGTCATCAGAGACAGGTTAGATAACAGTTCACGCCATTATCATAAGCTATTATAGAGATACAAATTTAATGGCACAATTTTGCTTCCATGTAATACAATATACAAGGATATTTGCTCAGAATTCAGCGTAATTATTATTCATGAGTTATCATATTAATTACTATAAATATTACAATAATTTAAAAGTTTTAAGTAAAAAGTAAAAGTTCGAATAAATAATAATAGTACAACCACCACGAAAAGTCATGGTGACGAAAAATTCAAAGTTAGAAATTGAGAGGCAGCAGTTATATATATACTCGTATATAGTGTAAGCCAATCATCTCAGAACATGGACAAAAGGATTTCGCGATTATTTTGGCCAAAAATCGCGATACCGCGATTTTTAACAGGCTATACATTAAACTATACATAAAATTTGTCGCAAATAATGGGAAAATCGTGATTCTGTACACGCCGCGATTTCCTTTTGTCCGTGTCTCAGAACTGCATGAGCCAACACCCAACATCATAACTGATGTGAGAACTGCGAATTTAACAACGAGGTCTGATCCTCATCTAGTTACATGTTCGATGTCTGTGTGAAGGTAAAATGGTGAAATCCTCTGGATCAGGCAGAGGTCCAGTGTTGCTCTACCACTTTGACTTATGTCCCTTAAGCGCTTTCAACTACCGTTCACCGAGCTTTGACTGCGGCTTCGGCCGGTGGAGGGTCCACAGTAGTCCCATTACCTTAGTGATGTGCGAATTAAATAAAATGTGAATTTATTCCAGCATCATCATCACGGTGGTAAACTGCTCTACATCAATATTGGGAGGGTTTGTCATCTTCAGCATTGTAGGCTACCGAAAACACATGACAGGTGCAGACTTTGATCAGGTAAATGAAAGAGGTTAATTGAATGGTTAATTAGTTAATTGATTGGTTAATTAGTTAATGGATTAAATGATAAGCTTTATAAATTTGCAGTTATATTTAATTAAAGGAAATATGATCAGTGCCAAAATTCTCGTAACTTTTTTGATATATATAAATTTCCATTGCACGTAACCTCTGGTAGCTCAGTTGGCAGAGCGGAGGACTGTAATGGTATCCCCAAAGTAATCCTTAGGTCACCAGTTCAAATCTGGTTCGGAGGATATTTTGATGATTTTGATTAGTAAAACGTATCTATTTTTAGCTCTTATATATATTACATGTTTTCAGCTTGGCTCAGGGCCAGGTTTGGCATTTGTAGCGATAGCTGAAGCAGTGGCCAACATGCACATCTCGCCTTTGTGGGCCGTCTTGTTTTACAGGTGAAAGTGTTATTTTTTATTGACAGGGTGATTCAAATCAATATTATCCATAATGAATTGCGTAATCAATTAATATATAACTGATTATGTAATTGATATGCCAATTAACTAATTATGTAATCAGTATGTTGCTGCTACTTGGATTGGACAGTTTGTTCGGCTTGATGGAGAGTATGTTGCATCAACTCAGAGAAGAAATCCCCGTTTTGAAGAGGATTAAGAAACACGGTGTCAACGGTTAGTTCAGGTTCTTTTCACTGCTATTACTGATACTATTACTACTATCATAATTAGTTTAAACTCTAAATATCGAAAATTCATGTACAATGTATTATAGTATTATGTATATTGTATAATGTACACATATCCCTATACTATATACATTATACATTATACATCGGTCAGGGATATGCAATATATCACGAATACACCCTCCATTACTTTCAGCATGTGTGTGTTTCCTAATGTTCCTCCTGGCCCTGCCTACAGCTACTAACGGTGGACAGTACATTGTTAACCTGATGGACACCTGGGCGGTCTCCATCCCCCTGTTGTTCGTTGCTTTGGGAGAGATAGTCTCCATTGTATGGTTCTACGGTATACACAGGTTAGATTAAACTCTGTAAATAGTGGAACACTTTATGTTATTTAAGCATCCGCTAAAAATTTTGTCGGTGGTCTAATGGCTAAATATCCTGATGATCTGAGTTCAATTCTCACTGCTGTACCTTACACTACCTTCTAACTGCCCTACAGGTTCACGAGAGAAGTGAAAGAGAAGACAGGGTACCAGATAGGATGGTACTGGCAGATATGTTGGGTGGTGCTGTCTCCCTTGGTCCTGCTCATCCTCATCGGCTTCTCGCTATTCTCCTACTTTGGGGACATGTCTTACAGTCAGTTTATTGGCTGTGCGGGGATTAATAGTGGACTGGTACGTTCTTTGGTAGATTTTTTCTAGAGTTTTATACTCACGGCCACATACTAGCTAGCCAACTACCACAACTCTTGCTCCTATGTTACACTACGTTTTGATTAGAAGTAGAAAGTGCCAATATTTACTGCAATTATAATTAAATTTTTGAATGAATAACCTTGAAGTTAAATTCTAACCAGAAAATGAATTTTGATAGAATTACCCAACGGGCACTTTGAATGATAAATTGCATTTACATGACAACCATTTACAGGCAAGTGAAAACGGCTCAATGTTAGAGACAAATAACGGCTCAGCTGATTATAATTTAACTGGAAACATGACCAACTTTAACTATGGTATAGACTACAAAGAGTGGCAAGTCAGTTCTAAACTGCCAACGGAGGGTATCGTGGCTGCTCTCTTTTTTCTTCTGACGTGAGTTTTTTCTTCTTTTTGATTCCTTTTTCTCCCTTTTCTCCCTTCAAGTGTATAAATGGAATGAGTTTATTCTCCTTCAAATATAAAATGTGTCTCCGTTTAACAAGTTGTTCCTCCTCGTGTGAGTTATACATCTTCCTAAAGTTTACTGACATTATTTCTTCTCCAAACATTGTTTCCACTTTTAACACAAATCCCCCCACAGACCACTGCTAACCCTCCCCCTGGGAGCTCTCTACGGTCACATATATCCCAACACTACAAATGAGGAACAGGTCCAAGCTAACTTGGAATCCTGCCCGGAGGAGAACGAGGTACTTTAAACAATTGTGAGAAAACTTTGAGGTACTCTAAAAGAATCTGAAGAATTACAGCCCTACTGATCCAGGACCCTAAACACGCCCTTATAGCAATACAACACTTACTACAGAGTGTCAACTCTCTTCACAGCAGTCAAATCCACCATGACGTAATCAGATGTCATTTTAAGGACTAATATAATTTATAATTGATATCTTTGTAGATGTCGGACACGAGCAAGTTATTCAGCATTATAATAAACATTCCGTGACCCTACCTTTAATGCAATATGCAGTCGGCAACGATTAAGAAGATCAAATGGTTTATAATTTCTATTTTGAGCTGAGACATATCAATTTTTGGGACTATTAGTATTATAGCGTTAATGGTACGCCGAATGGATGTCACAACTTTTATGAATGCACATATTTATGTATGCAGTTATTCAATGAATAATGCATTATTAAGTCCCATACTTGTAAAATTATTGGCCCGATTCGACAGTACCAATCACGCGTTTAACGCGTGAGATGCATTGCCAAGCGTAATGAATTTAGCCACCGCGCTAACGCGCTCACGCGTGGAGTCGGCCCTAAACTTGAAACAAACGGGAAAAAATTAGGGTGCTCGTCTTGTAAGATTATGTACATTAGATATTTGATGTTATTTTGAGCTAATATTTTTATGAAGAATGTTTTAATTTTTGAATAGTTTAGGTAGAATTTAGGTAGAATGTAGGAGTGACGACCCACATACAGCTATGGCTGGAGAGTCTACGCCCAAAATCAAGATGGGATCAACACTGTGTGCTGTGCTATTTGTTTTCGCTGTTTGTTCTTGGAATGTTAGGGGCTTGGGTAGTCCAGACACTGCGGTTAATGATAAAACTCGGTCTGAACGACTTTTAAAGAGGGAGTTACTGGGTAATGACTGCAAAAGGTACGGTATGGACATTGTGGGACTACAAGAAACTAAGTGCATTAATCAGGTGGATATCATACTTCACAACAACTACAGACTGTTAATTTTTGATCAGAAAGAACAATGTCATGGGGGTATTGGATTTGTTATTAGCCCTAAACTGCAACCTTTTATCACAACTTTCAAACAGATCTCTGATAGAGTTGGGTATATTGATTTTTGTTTTCCTCTCAAGGGTGGTAGTAATAAGAATTTCAGAATCATCAACAGTTATGGTCTCACATCTCTTCGTGCTCAACAACAGCCTGACAAACTGTCTCAGTTCTATAGAGATTTACACAATGTATCATCTACTCCATCAAAATGGGAAATGTTCCACTGCGGAGATTTTAACTCAAAGCTGGGTAAACGAACTAGGGTTGATGAACAATTAGGTCTGGAAGGTTTGATAGGTAGACATGGTATTGGGACTAGAAATGAAAATGGGGAGCATTTGCTTGAATTTATGGTTAAAGAAGACCTAACAGCATGCAATACTTTGTTTGATCATCCAAGTAGGCACAAACTAACTTGGACTGGTGAACACAGGACTAAGAGAAATACTCCTATATACGCTCAACTTGACTATGTGCTTTGCAGGAGGAGATCTACGGTTTTAATAAAGGACAGCAGATCATACGGAGGCGCTGAGTTACGATCTGATCACAAACCTGTTGTAACTCGATTAACGCTGAAAAATCATGTTCTCATTCACAAAACCAAAAAATCAGATAGCACTCAGTTTGACTGTTCAACTCTCTACAGGGATAAAGAACTCAGACAGAAATATCAAAGTGCGATTGCTGAAAGGTTATCAGGTAAAACTTATCCAGATGACCCAAATGAGAAAATGAATGAACTTTTTAGTGACATACGTGCGTGTGCTGAAGAAACTATACCCCTGAAAGGGAAATCCTCTAAACAAAATTTCTCCAGTGATCTAACAGTAGCTTCATTAGTTGCTAAAAAGCGTGATCAGACTCTAAAGATCAAATCAGCCCCAAATGGTAGTGATGTTAGTGGAGATAGGAGAGCAGTAAGAAAGATTCAGAATAGCATTTCTAAGAGACTTGTGCAAATAAATAACATGAAGGCTGACGCTCTAGCAGAAGAAATAAATAACACTGACGATGCTAGAAAGATGTTTGAAGCTTCAAGATCTTTAGCTGGAATAAAAAAGTCGGGTAACATAGTGGTCAATGATATCAACAACAACCCTATTGGTACTGATTTAGGGAAAGCAAACACAGCGAAATCTTTCTTCGAAAAACAACTAACAGAAGGAGTTGAAGCTGGCCTGCAACCTTTTACCTGCGATCCAAAACCACTTGATAACCCCATTACACCAGTTGAAGTTGAACTTGCTGCAAGTAAACTCAAATCAAACCGTGCCAGTGGTCCAGATAATCTCCAGAATGAGTTGATAAAGTACGCCCATCCAATCACTTTTGAGAAGTATGCTGAGGCAATTAACGAGTCATTTAGTGGGAACAAATACATAAGTTCAATAGGACAAGGTATTGTGACTCCTCTACAGAAGCCCGGTAAACCTAAAGGTCCCCTCACAAGCCTTAGACCACTTACACTGTTAAACGGATCAAGGAAGATGCTCACTCAAATTGCCTTAAAACGGGTTGAGAGTAGAATTGACAACTACACCATGCCATGGCAGAGTGCTTACAAGAGAGGTAGGAGCTGCTCTGACATTGTGTGGGCTCAGAGAATGCTAATATCTGTTGTGATGAGGAAGAAATGGACATTTAGCAAAATGGGTATTGATATGAGTAGAGCTTTTGATACCGTGAAAAGGGACACTATCATCAATGTTTTGAAGGATGCTGGTTGTTCGGAGGACGACATTCGCTTAGTTCAATACCTTCTATCGAATACTCTCCTTAGAGTTCGTGTTAACTCCTCACTGTCGGAAGAGTTTGAAAGTTTACTCGGAGCCTTTCAAGGTGACAGTTTATCTGGAAAGCTATTCACACTTATTCTTGCAGCAGCCTTACACCACCTCAGAGCTGTATCTGGGAGACCAAACCCACCAGTATCAGAACTAGGTTTTCCAACTGAGTGGGAATATTCAGACGATTGTGACTTTGCTGACGAGGACATCGAGAAACTGAGAATTTTCCTTCCTACAGTGAAGGAGATTCTCAAAGACTGGAACTTCCAAGTAAATGAAAGTAAAACTGAATTCAGTACCTTCTACCTGGCGAAAAAATCTGATAGAGACACAAACGGTCAGCCATTAGCTAATAACGAACCATGGCGAAGTAACAAGTCACTAGGTTCCTTACTCTGTACTGAGAAGGACATTCAAAGAAGGAGAATCCTAGCTGAGATTGCTTTTAAGAACTTTGGAAAAGTATGGTTGTCCGGCAAGAAAATTTCCCTTGAAAGAAAGCTGAGGTTATATGATGCTCAAGTTGTATCTGTATTGATTTACAACTCAAATAGTTGGAGTCCTAAGAAAGCAACCATGGAGAAAATGGACACACTCCATCGTAGACACCTCAGGTCCATTTTAAACATCAAATGGCCTAAAGGTATGATAAGCAACAAAGCATTGTATGAAAGGTGCAAAGTTGAAAAGTTATCCAAGCGTATTGAACACCAGCGGTGGAAGATGTTTGGACACATTCTCAGGAGTATGGAGAACACCCCAGCCCAAACGGCTCTCTCTTTTTCTATTGAATCAGATAATTTATTCATTGGTAGATTGGGGAGACCTAGAATGAACTTGTTATCGGTTTTAAGAAGTGATTTAAGTAGTAGAAATTTGCAAATGGACAACTTGCATGAATTGAACGAAATTAGAGATATAGCTGCATGCAACAGATGTTGGGAAAATCTTTTTCAAGGGTACAGTTTACCGCATTAAGGTATTTTTAAGAATCATTTTTGTCGGTAAGATCCTGTTTTATAATAATAATAATAGTTTATAGATCGGATTCTGGTACGGTGAGGCATAATGTTTTGACAAGTGACTATGATTCTGAGTTTTTATTGATCAATTATATTGGACGCTAATTGGTTAATCGCCATGTCACGTGTCAAAAAATATGCCTCACCTCCCCACCTAGTAGCGGCTACTACTGTTTACTAGTACTATAACTAGCTATAACTGCTTAAAACTGAAATAGAATTACATGCCAAAATTCGAAATTCATTAGCCAGCTTTTTATTTTTTATAGTTATAGTAAGGATTTACCTCAATTTCAAAATCCCAGGCTTAGTGTTCATAAAAAATGACAAAATGGCGGAATGACAGCGGCTGAGCGCCGGCCTGTTAATATTGAACATGTGATGTGGGTTAAATTTAATTATAGGTAGTGCGCCATCGACAGTGTGAGTGAGCCGCGCGTGCCGACTTTGTATCACGTTGCGACCCCCAAGGTCGTTTCACTATCGTTCTGACGATACAGGGGGAGCCGCGCACTTCGTGCGCGGCGGGTCATACAACGTATGACAATGCCGACTGTAGGATGGTTTTTAGCGCTACGGCTAATTTCGTTAAATAGTGCAAAACTTGCTTCCTCGATCTATTTTAAAAGTCCTATCTACCAAGTAATACACCATACTTGACTTCAAAATTAGGTATACTGCACCATGTTCACTAAATTCGTGGCCGTAGCAAATTAGCTTAACTGCTGCAAATGAGCAGTCTAAACGATTTTTGCAGCAAATTGTTTAACTTTATCTAGAGACAGCTCAAGCTATAATTAGCGGAAACAGATCCTACAACGAATTGTAGTTATAAAAACTTGTTTGTAAGTTTGAAATGTTAATGGTTCCTAATCCTACTTCTTTAGTTGTTTCCAAATCGTGTGGATTGATTCTTAAATGTCGGCGCTATATACTCCTAGTACATAGTATTTTCCGCGGTGCTACAAGCGAGCATGCAACTGCAAATTACTTGAATATGTTGAACCGCGACCGACACGTTCTTGGATGTCTGACAATTACCGTTTAAACAACTATATATATCAGATATTTTAGTTTATTACTATTAGCTTTTAGTCTTATTCGGTTACATGACTTTGTCAATGACAGAGTACGTTAATGTTACACTTAAAGTTAATTATACATAGCTAAATAAATGTTTTAGATTTCTTGTCATCTGCATCTTGTATCGTAATTATTTAAGAAATAAATAAATAAAAGCTAATTAAATTAGCTTTTACTTATTTATTTCTTAGATTTAAAATTTATTTTTTCGATCATCACGATTCACGAACATGCGGCGGCTTTGGTCTAGGAAACCCAGGAAAGCTTATATATAAAGCATATATTAATATATGAAAATAGGACAGCAAAT